TTAGTCCCTAATAAAGGGCATCGAGAGTCTAGAGGGCACAGAGATTCTCCTAAACGCGGACACCCTGAAAACGCCTAGGAAGAGTCCGGATCTTCCCAGGCGAGAGAAAAGCCAAAAACTTTGAGTTCATTGGCTGGTGGTGGAGGGGAGGCTGCCAGCGCTCTCCTCTGATTGGGTACTTTCTCATAGCGGAAAGCCAATCATCCAGGGAGGTGGGGGCGGGGCCCGGCTCGCCGTACAGGCCCCGCCCCGAGTTCCGGCGCTCTAAGCACTACGGGAGAGGCCGATTGGCGGTGAGTTCTGACCTTTTACCTGCTTAGAGACCCTTCCGTCCAGGAATTCGGTTCACCTCTTGGGGAGTGGGGAGGTAGGGGCAGGTCCTCCCTCCAGCCCTCAGGGAGCACCCCCCTCCCGCCCTCAACTCCAGCTGTTCACAGTCTGTACCTGTCTGCGCTCAGTGTCACCGCCTGTGAAATGGGATTGGGTGGGAGGGATGGGAATGGGAGACATTGCAGTGTGCCTCGGACAACAAGGCTATGTTCCCCCACAGGACGATGGCTCAGGAGGGGGGCGGGAGCCTGTCCGAGGTGCGAGCCCGGGTGGGGGCCTCACACGGCATCACCGATCTGGGCCACAAGCTGCACTTCTATGACCGCTGGGCTCCGGACTATGACCAGGTAAACTGGCCAAGGCTCCTCCCCCTCTGCTTCTCTTGCTTGCCCAGACTCAACTTTCCTATCTGTAAAGTGGGACTATTTAGCTTTGCATCATCCCAGGGTGACTTGTGAGAATGAGGTGAGCCCCTGCAGTCCTGCTCCTTCAAAAACTGGCCCCGTGTTCAGCTCGTCCACAGCAGCCCTGCCCTCTGACCAGCCCCATGTCTCCACATTGGCAGCCCCTAGAAATCAGGAAACAAGACACCCGCCCCCACCCTGGGACTGCAGCCCAGGCAGAGGGGCTACCTGGAGGAGGTGCCATTGAGCGCACACACACATACACACACACACAGCTTGGCCCGAGTGACTCCTAGACCACCCTACACCCAGAGGTCACCCAAACACTGGGGCACGGGACGCCAGGCAGCTCAGCACTCTGTCCCCAGGATGTGGCCGCCCTGAAGTACCGCGCCCCCCGCCTCGCAGTGGACTGCCTTACCCAAGCCCTTGCAGGCCCGCCCGATGCTGCCCTAATCCTGGATGTGGCCTGTGGCACCGGCCTGGTGGCTGCTGAGGTGAGGTCTCCCCACATCCCCTGCCCTCTCTTCAACTCCCCACTCGCTCAAATTTCCTCCCACCCCCCAGCCCCAGAACCCTGCCTCCCCCCTCAGACTCACCGGTCCCAAACATGTGGATGGACTCCCATTTACTGTGGAGCCCACTGCCCTCCCCAGGCGCAGGGACCCAGCCAGGAGATGGCAGGTGTGAACTGTGACTGAGCACCCCCCACCTTAGCTGCAGGCTCGGGGCTTCCTCCAGCTGCATGGGGTGGATGGGAGCCCAGGGATGCTGGAATGGGCGCGAGCCCGTGGCCTCTACCAGCGCCTCAGCCTCTGCGTCCTGGGCCAGGAACCTCTGCCCAGTTCTGAAGGTACTTCTTCCCTTCCCACCCAGGCGCCTGGACAGTGCCCTTCTTTTGTCCAGCCTCCTTCCTGAGCCCTTCACAAGTCCCCTGCCACCACTGAGCCCCATGAAACCTCACCGGGACCCTCTCTGAGGCCCCGAGAGCCCCTCTCTCTAGGCCCTCTACCCCATGATCTGATGTCAGTCCCAGATGGGGCCACACCTGCCATATCCTCCCTCCCTACGGGCATCATGAGGCCCCACTGAAGACAAAGCCCACACCGCATCACATTGCACACAGGGACCTTCGATGCGGTACTGATGGTGGGTGCCCTCAGTGACGGCCAGGTGCCCTGCAGTGCGATACCTGAGCTTCTGCGAGTCACCAAACCAGGTGAGGAGCAGCCTGTTTAGCCCCAGGTGAATACCTTCCCCCTCCACACACCCACAGACACTAACCTTGGAACCTGTCAGGCTAAGCGAGGGGCAAGGTCCTGCCCAGGGTCACACAGCCTAGCCTAGCTTCCCAGTCACCAGCTGCCACCATCAACAGAGCCAGGCAAACAGGCAGGGCAGACTGGTAGCCAGCTCGCCCTCTTACCCTCTGGGCAGCTCCCCTCTATGAGCAGAGCCCCTTCCCCAATGGATTACGGTGAGCATTGGGCGAAATGATGTGTCTGAGGCCTTTGTTTCAGTCCTGGCATGTCTTAGGGGCTCAGTTCAGTGCTCTCATCTTCCGGCTTCCTCACTAACTTGCTGACAACTGTTAGGGGAGTCTTTTGCTTTTCCCCGGTCTCAGTTTCCTCATCTGGGAAATGGGCCGCTCAGGTGAGATGTTAGACGTGAGCACTTTTCGTAAACTCCACCCGTGGGTTGATGTGCGGCTAAGGATCGTGTTTACTGTGCTCCTACTGCGGGCCTTGTCCCACGCTGGCCTCTGCTTTAGAGGGGCGGTACGTACCCTGCTCTCTGGGCTTCGATCAGCAGCCCGCTGCACCCCACTGCACCCCAAGAAGGGCTCTGGGGGGAAAGGCCAGGGCGCACACTCTGAGAATTCAGGGAAGAGAGGCATTTCCGGGGGGCGGGGGGCGCTGAGGACAGTGCACATGGGAACACAGCCACAAGCCAAAACAGATCAGGAAGACAGCCACAGGGAGGCAGAGGCAGAAAGGAGCATGGAGGAGCAAGCGGAAGCTGAGGCCCTGACTTGGCTGCAGAACAGGCTCAGAAGCCCCCCAAGGTACCTCTGCGGCAGCAAGGCCACCTCCTCTCCCTGCCCCCCTCACCCCTGCTGGGCCGAGCAGGGCCTGGGGCTAAGCCTGGGCAGGTCTGGGCAGGCTTCAGCCTCAGGGAGCCATAGAGACTGGCAGATGCAGGGTCTTCAGTGGGGTCAGAGAGAGAGGTCGTGATTGGGCTCAAGAGAACAAGAAACTCGCACTGGCAGAACCAGCCCCGCGCATGCTTGTCAGGCCCCTGAGCTGGCGAGAGCCCTGAATGCCTGCACATATGTCACAGGCTCCCCTGCTTTGGAGCCTTTCTTCTCACAGAGCCCCAGCCACCCACCCTGCAGGGCCCTGCTTCTCCTTCCCCCTTCCTCCAGGAAGCCTTCCAGACACCGTATCTGAGCCCTACATGTATCTGAGCGTGCTATAGGTATCTGGAGAAGACCTGAAGGGATACGGCACTCATCTGTTCAGCCAGCTCTTAATGACTGTGAGGTCCTTCCTGTGAGATCAGTAAAACAGCCCCACTCTGTAAGCTGGGAAACGGAGGCTCAGAGAGGTGAAAGGACTTGCCCAAGATCCCAAGTGCTTCCTCCTTGTGCATCCAGACACAGCCACATCCTCTGGCAGAGGGGCTGGGTGAGCACGAGGAGGGAGCCCCCTCTGTCCAGGGGATTAAGCCAGGAATTCCCAGCGCAAAGGACACAGGAGCCTGGAAGGTTGTGTAGGAGGCTGAGGAAGCAGAAGGGTGTTCCTTGGGGCAGGAACAGGGAACAGAAAAGCCATGGAGATAGGAAAAGGGGGGGGGGGGGGGAGAACATATGTCCTTGAGGGCAAGTGCAGGAAAGAATAACCTTTCTGGGAAGGGGTGGGCCTAGAGCCTGGAACCAGGGCTCCTGCCCCTCCCCCCTCACCTTCCCCTCCCCCACCCCGCCTCTCTCCCCAGGGGGGCTGGTATGTCTGACCACCAGGACCAACCCATCCAACCTCCGCTACAAGGAGGCACTGGAGGCCACCCTGGACAGCCTGGAGCGGGCCGGGGCATGGGAACGCCTCGTGGCCTGGCCTGTGGACCAGTGGGAACTGGCCACGTCCGAGCTTGAGGTGCTGCCTAGAGCTTCTGGCAGCGATGGCTTCATCTCCGGCATCGTCTACCTGTACCGAAAGCAGGAGGGGGCCCAGGCAGAGGGAGTGCAGCCCAGTCCGGAGCCCCCAGCTGGCCTCTGACCCTCCGCGTGGCCTCATCCAAGCCCATCCGTGGGCTGCCTCCACTTCATCTGTAAAATGAGGCCTCTGAGCCAACGTTGCCCATTAAATGAGTCCCAAGAGGGGTAGCAGGACTCTGGCTCTGTGATTCTGTTCCCCAGGAAAGTGATGTCTGTCCCCGAGAAGGACAGAAGTGAGAAGAGACAGAACAGAGAGGGCCCCCACCCCAGGCCGCCTCGAGCCAGCCATGATAGGCCCACAGATGTCACTTCCTGACACCTCCCGTGGTGGTGGGCCCTCTCACGCCACCTCAAGGGCAGGAAACCCATGCCCGTGCCTCTGGCCTTGGCTGAATACGTTCACAGGGCCAGGATTCAGCTTCCTCTTCCCTAAAGGACCCGGAAAGCAGAGCTCAGGGTGTGTCTTAGAGGCTGCCTCGAGCCACTGGCCAGGTGAAAGGGTTTGGTGACCACCGGCAGTCGGGGGTATGAACAGGACTAATGATAATCCCCCGAAACAGGGGCCGTGGGAAGTCTCCTTAGGGAGGAAGACCGAAGGCCGGCCTTCAGGACAAGCAGCATTCAGAGGGGGGGAGAAGGGGCTTAAAAAGACGCTCTAGACCCATAGCAGGAACAGCCTGGGCCATGGCCAGGACGCAGGAGCCAGAGGGTGAGCAGATCAGCCTGGCCACCCAGACAAAGCTGGGACAAAGATAGATAGAGGGCAGGTGGCCCACCCCCCGGGGCTGAGTGTCCTCACTGCCCTCCCTCCCTGGGTGCCCAACGCTTCAGCGGGGTGTCTCCTATGGATGCCTTTACCTTCCAACAAATGAAGGTCGTCAGCCAGGTGATTCCCAAGGAGAGGGCTAGCTCTGATTTGTCACAATCCTCAAAACCAGGGTTTTTGGGGGGTGGTTGTTTTTTAAGCGTTCTTGTGTTGGCCACCACATCATGGTCCTGATCCTCACCCTCCCCTGCCCACCTTCACGGCTGAAATCAGAAACGATGCGGTCTTCCTGTGCACGGGTCCCATTTATTGTAGAAAATTATAGTAATTACTGTGATAAACAGATATTAAGTTATAAAACAGAAACCGGAGACAAGGCAGGGGAAAAGGTCCAGGACTTCCTGGGAATGAAGGCCAGAGAAAGACCGTTTCCCCCCCGGCCCTCCCCAGGATGCCCAGTGACCTTGGCAGGGGCAGTGAATCCAGACGTGGCCAGTCACAAGAGGCCCAGGGTCCTCCTGCAGAGGCTGCTGAGGCAGAGCCCTGAGGCTGCAGGGTGGGGGCGGGGGGGGGGCGGGTAGCCTGGGCGGCCTCCATGGTCTCCTCCCCCACCACCACCCAAACCAGTTTGTAGCACCTTCACCCCTCCCGTCTAAACCCGTCCGTCAACTCTGCTCCACGGGCAGGTGGGTGAGTGAGGCGCCAGCCAACACAGGAGTGGGGCACCCCCTCGGAGGCAGAGCGCAAGCAAATTCAGGGCGAGCTCTTCTGACCAGCAGGAGTCAGCTCCCCCCTCCACCGCCACACCCTGTGACTTCTGCCCCCTCTCCTTCTGCCCCTTCTCCTGTATCCCCGGGGCCAGACGAGGCCAACACAGAAGTCTCTGTCCATCCTTGCCGGCGGCGTAGAGGAGGCTCTGCGTAGGTGTCCAAGGGGGCCGAGGGCTGCCAGCCAGTGGCCCGGCTGAGTCCCTGCTTGCGCAGCCTGCGGCCCGTGGCAAGGAACATCCTGGGGTCACGGGCTGCGCCTTCAGTCCAGGGAGAAACAAAGCCCGGAAACAGAGCTGAGTGGCGGCCCCTTACACGTAGTTGCTGGCGGGGGCGGAGCGGGCGGCGGAGTACTTGGCGGAGTAGGGCTTGTCGGTGCGCGGTGGGCAATTGCAGCACAGCAGGGCCCCACCGAGCAGCAGCAGGCCCGAGGCGGCCCAGCCGACGTAGAGAGAGGCGCCCATCTCCCGCTTCTGGCCCGAGGGCACCAGCGGGTTGTAAAAGTCCCGGATGATATTGTTGGCCGTCCAGGACACCGGCACCATGACCAGCAGGCCGGCCATCAGGAACACCACGCCTGCCACAACCATGGTCTTGGCCTTGGCGCTCTCGTCCTCCACACAGTTGGTGCACTTGCCGCCCACCACGGACAGCAGCACGCCCAGCACGGCCAGGATGATGCAGATGACCATGAGGGCACGGGCCGCCTGCAGGTCCTGCGGCAGCGCCAGCAGCGAGTCGTACACCTTGCACTGCATCTGGCCGGTGCTCTGCACCACGCAGTTCATCCACAGGCCCTCCCAGATGGTCTGCGACGTGACGATGTTGCTGCCGATGAAGGCCGTCACGCGCCACATGGGCAGCGCGCAGCTCAGTATGGCGCCCAGCCAGCCCAGCACGGCCAGCGCGATGCCCATCACCTGCAGTCCCATGGAGGCCATGGCTCGGCGTCTGCTGGCGTCTAGGATCCGGAAGGCTGTGGGGATCCGGCCCTGGGCAGGGGCTGTAGGAATCCAAGCGCTGAGGACAGACCCTCCGCGTCAATGGGGAAGACTTTCACTTCAAGTCCAGAGGCAGAGATACTCCGATCAGCTCCCTGTCTCTCCAGAGTCAGAAGTACCAGCGGAGCGTGTGACCTGACCTGTTCCGCTCAGCAGCTGGCTGTCAGACTGGAGACTGGCGCAGTTATATGGCTCCATGGGGAGGGGGAGGGGGAGGCGGGAGCAGAGGGAGGCGTTTCTGTCCCTGGAGACTTCCCCTGACCAGTTTCTCTGGATTCCTGAGTCAGGGCCAACAAAGGCCCTTCCAGGCCTCAACCCTGGGCCCCTGAGTCAGGATCCTGGAGATCCAGTCTCAGGGGAAACTGCCCTCTCCCCCTGCCCCCAGGCCCGTGCTGAGGTCAACCTGGAGACAGACACTGAGTCACAGTCCACAGGCGCACCGGGACGCGTGGGGCAGTGGTGCCTGGCCAGGTTAGGGTCCCAAAGACCGGAGCCCCACACCTCAGGGCTCCCTCCTTGCAGGCTTGGGTGGACAGGCTGGGTGGAGCCCGTTGGGGAGAGGGTCTGAGGAGGAAATCCACACCTTGATTGCCCTAGTCCTGTCGGTAGCATCTACCACCGGCCGATCGCTACTGTTCTGATTCTCACCATCCAGGCAGTTGCCTCGCCCACGGTTTTCGTGTTGCCTTTGTGAGGGCAGTTTGGGGAACGAGGAGCTGAGGAGCCAGGATTCCTGGGTCCCCTCTCTTACCGCCACCGGGCTTCCCAGCCCTGCCAGAAGAGGCCTTTTTTATTTTTTTAATGTTTTATTTATTTCTGAGAGAGAGAGAGAGAGAGAGAGCATGAACAGGGAAGGGTCAGAGAGAGAGGGAGACACAGAATCCGAAACAAGCTCCAGGCTCTGAGCTAGCTGTCAGCCCAGAGCCCGACGCGGGGCTCGAGCCCACAAACCGCGAGATCATGGCCTGAGCC